GCATATTGTCGAGAGGCTGTCTGTGTGTGTGTGTTCGGAAAGCGAGTGTATTTTGCCACCCACTTTTGTTGTGAAAAAATATATTTTCAATCAAACCAAAAGCACGCGGGACTTCAATTTCTTTTTCTTTTTTTTGCAAATATTTTCTCACAACAGCTGGGGTACCACCAAGTTAAATAGTAACAGTGTTGGTTAATCGTGTTTCCAGGAATCAATAGTCACTTTATATCCAATTATCAGAACGCAATACAGATCCAATTCAATACCATTTGTTCCAATAAGCGAACCTCAAATTTGGGTTATTAAACCCTTTTCAACAAACTTTAACATCCAATAATTCCATCAAAAAGCGAAGAAAATTATATCGCATCAAAAAGCGTAAAAAATTATATTGAATCGCATTATTCCGCCTTTTTTTTTTAAAGAAAAAAGCAAAATAAAGGAACAAGTGGGCTAAGACACGTCCGATATGTTCCTTCAGGAGCGTGAGGGAGGAATGCCGAAATGGTCAGAATGCTCAAATGGAAGATGCCTACGTTAGCCAGAGCGAAATCCTTCGAAAAACAAAAAACAACCATCGTGCTGTGGGCGGAGAGGTCAACCATACCTCACTCCCAACGTGCTGACCTCAGAGGTTAGCACGCTGCCCAAATCCTTCCATTAACAATAACAAATTATTTCACAACAATAACAAATTGAATCACATTCTTCGCTTGCGACACCCCGGGCCAAAAAAAAAAGAACATTAGCTGCTTTGTTGAGAGTGCAATAACATCGTATTTCTGCACCATTCCAATTGCGCCTGCACGACAGTTTAGTTGTTTTGTAACTGCTCGGCACATTCCTGCTTATTTTTGCGGCGATCTGACACAAAGGACATGAAAGATAAATTAATGAACGATAAGATAATCACATCTGCAAATAAAGTATATAACACCAATTATTGATATGAATGCTATAATTTTCAAGGCAGATCGTCGCTTTCGGATTCCTCTCTTTCCATATTCGGATCAACGATATTTTTCGTTGCTTCCTTAATCATTTCTTCTTGCTCGCAATCATCAACGCCAAACTCTTCTGTGCTTTCTGTTTCATCGCCAGTTATTTCCATTGGTAGTAGAAGACTAACAGGCCTTATCCATCGAGTTCCATTTGCTAGCTGCACCGTTGCTCTACGTATTACTCCTTTTCCTTTTCTCATTTCGACAATTCTACCAAGTTTCCACATTGCTGGTGGTGTCTTCTCCTCTTGCACAATGACAACTTCACCTAATTTTGGTTGGCGTTCAGTGACGCCTT